GGGTTTGGGGTTTAGGGTTTAGATGCTTAGGGCAGCTCAAGTTCCGAGGCAGCAAGTGGCTTCTTCTAACATCGAGCTGAATCAGAATCATATAGCAGCCCAAATAATTACCTATATTATTCCTTAGGGTTCCTTATAGTTCTGGTATAATGGGCCCTGCATTAATCAGGTTCATCCCCGAGACCCCCAATCCTTCCTTCGGACGGTTGAGGGTTTAGGGTATAGGGTTCACTTCGCCCGCATGAAGGTGTGGGCGACGCCTTTGTTCGACGTCCCTGCGGATGTCTCAAATCCAGGCAGCGGCTATCAGCCGCTTTGCTCCCAGGCTGGGCAACTTTCCGAATCCCCTCCCCCAGAATAATGTAGGAACCTGATTAAAAAACCCTGGCCCTAGAACACCCGAAATACTGGGGTTATACTAAGAACCCTAATAAAGGCCCAGGATTCCTTAATCAGGTTCCTATATTATGATAGCTGGCAAAAGGAAGATTTCGTATTAGAAAGGGTGGGGGATTTTGAGAAGGGCAGGGGGGGGTCGGGGAGTCCCAGAAGTGATCCCAGCAGGCGGTCCGCATGGACAACAACAGCATCCTATGCTTCCGAAGTCAGAACTTCAACGTCTCGCAGCTGGGAAGTTGGTCGAACGTCTATGTGACTTGCCTGCATACACCGGATGAGAGGGTTTCGGGTTTAGGATTTACCCTAAACCCTAAACCCTAAACCCTGGTTTAGGGTTGAGGGAGGCTTCTCTCCATGTCAGGAGCAAGGGCCCTGGGCACCTGAGGTGCAGAGTGGGCCAGATGCCACCTCGACAAATATCGTTGAGCGGGCGCTTCAGATCAATCAGCCTCGCATCTTCCAGTCGCTTGGGGACAATTTTGGCATCTATCTAACTTCCCTTATGGTTCTTGTAGAGGTACCTATCCATAAATACTGACAATTTTGGCATCTATCTAATTTCCCTTATGGTTCTTATAGAGGTACCTATTCATAAAGACTTTTTAGGGCCCCGAAGCTACAACCCAGATATAGATGCTTGACGTGTTCCCCATTTCTGGGCCCGACCCCAAGAACCAGAGCCAGGATCACTCGCAGCCATGAGTTCGAAGTGGGTGCTCTTGAAGTCACCATCCAGGGGGAGCACTTTGGCACTGAGGCGAATGGCAACATGGTGCCTTGTTTGCCTTTTGGTGTAGGAGGGCCGGAGTTCGCGCCTATCCTGCCGGCAAAGGCCAGGGATACAGGACAATCAGCTAAACTGAAAAACTGTAGCATCTTCTTGTCATTGAGCTGTATGTCCTGACCAGCGGTGCGACTCGACCATACAGAGTTCAAGGGCACACCCAGAAGCCGCCTCCATCGCCAGGTCGCGTTGGCTTGAGGTAAAAGGTGTATCCAGTCTTGGATCTGACCATCTCAGCATGTGAGCCCCTGTCGAAGTTAGGGGAGTAGCGTAGCATCCTAATAGGGGATGAGGGTTTGGGGTTTAGGGTTTAGGGAGCATATACAGATGTCGTTTGGGGGATATGAACACCTTGGTCAGGGGTGCATGTGCAGCTTGTCTTGGTACCCTAAACCCTAAACCCTAAACCCTAAACCCTAAACCCTAAACCCTAAAGCCTAAAGCCTAAACCTAAACCCTAAACCCTAAACCCTAAACCCTAAACCCTGAACCCTAAACCCTGGTGGCTGCTGTCTGAGGTGGTGCAGCTGGAGACCTTTGGGTCAAACACAACGGCGGTGCCGGATCTGTGGCTCGCTCAGGGGACGGGGTTTAAGGTCTGAGTTTAGGGTTTAGGGTTTATGGTTTAGGGTTTAGGGTTCAGGGTTTAGGGTTTAGGGTAAGAGGAACATTTGCTCAGAAGTCGCAGGCATGAGGGACCCTGTAGGCGGAGACTTCCTTCAAAAGTGCGCTGCGACATAGGTAGGCCACTGAAGACTGTCAAGCACAACACGGTCGCTCAAGAGAGAGATGGTGTAACAGCGTCAACAGCGGGGCATCTTCGGCAGATGAGCATTTGAAGAGCTTCTTCTGATAATCCACCCTGAATTACCCCCTAAACCCTAAACCCTAAACCCTAAACCCTAAACCCTAAACCCTAAACCCTAAACCCTAAACCCTAAACCCTAAACCCTGAACCCTAAACCCTAAACGCTCAGGGCCCCAAGGTCCCTAGAGCTCTGCGTTTTAGCCACAGCTCCTCAGTATCTCTGCACTCTTCGCCTCTTCCCAGGTCCCTTGCCGAAGACCTCGGCGAGCCGACCCACTTTGTGAATTGCCAGATCATCGACCACCAGGAGTTCTGTCCTGTTTCGTCTAGTTTAGGGTTTAGGGTTTAGGGTTTAGGGTTTAAGGTTTAGGGTTTAGGGTTTAGTTTAGTGTTTGGCGATGGCACAGCAACAGGAAGAACAGTCCATTTTGAAGGCCGCACACAAGCTGTTGAGTGCGTACACATGGCCCTGAAGCTCACGGGGCCTTGTAGTGCCTGGCGCACGAGGACAGGGAGGTGCGCTGTCGCGTCGAGGATCAAAGTCTTTTCGGTGCCGAGATTTCAGGTGGACGCCGGGCAGCAGTTCCAGCACTGTGAAGTCGTCACGGCTCATCCGAGTCCTTTCCGCTCAGCCGGCAAAAGCTACAAGTTTGAATGTTCCCACACACAGCCGGGCTTCAATGGGCTTACCCCGAAGCAGCTACATGTCCCGGAAGAAGTCTGTTAGACACCCCGGCCAAAACGCGGTTGACCTCCAATCGCACTGCATACCGAGAATACTACAATGAGACCATTGAAGTGGACGAGGGCCGCCGTCTGCAGGAAGGACAGCCTTTGGACCTGGACAGGCAGGATTCTTCGGGTTCAGGGCTTAAGGGTTAGAATAGGGACTTAGGGGTCTATTATACTATACTTTTTAACAAGGAACCCCCAAAATAACTTATAATAAGGAACCCCCCAAAGTAACTTATAATAAGGAACCCCCAAAGTAACTTATAATAAGGAACCCCCAAAATAACTTATAATAAGGAACCCCCCAAAATAACTTATAATAAGGAACCCCCAAAGTAACTTATAATAAGGAACCTCCAAAGTAACTTATAATAAGGAACCTCCAAAATCGCAGTGGGCTTAAGGCTTCGGGTTTCAAGATCATGGCGGAGTCTTCCAGCACGTTGCTTTGCTGTCATGAGAATATAACACATCTACTTTGTGCTTAAGAACACCACGGTCGTAGCAAGTCAATAAATCAATAAGTAAATAAATATAAATATAAATATA